TATATACTGTATATATATATAATATTGGTTTGTGTACTTCTGCTTAATCTCTAGTATCCGGCCATAATGTCTTGTGTATTGAGTATGATATCTCTACTCAACCTGTTTCTATCCATATTCCTATTACCAGATTTCTTGCCGGTAAGATATTTATTTCTTTACATGACAAGTAAAAACAGCAATATAATTAAATTTTTAGCATACTATATGTAACAATATGGTTTTTGAGTAAAAAGCCACTGGTCGGTTGTCTATTATGTAAGTAGTAATCCTTCTATCTAGTAGACAGATCTGGCCTTTGACCTTCTCGTGTGTATTTCTTTGTGTGTGTGTGTGGGTAGACCAGGTTTGTAAATACAAAAACTTGAAACTGCACACAATCTTACTGAATTTATGTCATGAATAATAATAATAATAATAATAATAATAATAATAATAATAATAATAATGATAATGATGATAATAATTTCTCTAAATCAAACTTAAGGGGAATATCTTTTGTGTTATTTTCCCCTTAACGTCATGTTATTTTTCCCTTATTGTCATTTTTTAAATTGTTTTCTAATTTCCCCTTAAGGTAGGTTTTAGTAACATAATAATATAATAATAATAATAATCGTCTTGCTGTATAGCTGTTGATAAATAACTTTTTTTTTTTCTTTTTTTTTTTTTTTATAACTATTAGGTTTGTATATTCACCTAGGAAAGTACAATCTTAACTACTACAAAGAAGGTCTTCTACCAATGGTAAGTAATTAATGTCATGAGCTATAATATACTGCTTACTAAGAAGCATAAGAACACTAGGGAATTAATTCTCACAATGCATTCAAACTTTCTAAATTAAGTACAATTTAATACATATTCAATTATTTGGACTACACAAATTTAAATTTATTGGGTTAATGGAACAATATGTGTGACGGAAATTTTTTATATGCACAATATCACCATTGATATTGATATTATTATATTATAATTATTATTATATTGATATTGATAAAATATCCACAAACCGTTTTAAAAATTCAGCATTGTACATTGCTTGTAATCTATTTAATCAAAATTTCAGAAGATAACTGCACAGGACTCAAATTTTTATTTTCTAAGAAATCTTTATTTAACACTCTATATGTTTATGAACGATTCTATGTCATGTACAACAAATATCTCAGAATGTATTATTTTGACAATAAAGTTGACTTGTATCTTGTATCTTGTATCTTGTATTGACAGTGCTGCAGCCAGTAGTAATTAGGTCGCAATTTATCAGCCCTAACATTCTAGAATTTTAGTAAATTAAATCTAATAATAAAATAAATATTGAAATACATTGGTGTAGCACAATGCAGGCCATAATGGTAAATCTTGACTCTCAAAGTAAACACCAGCAGTGATTTTGTCAACGGATTCCGTCAATGACGGCCATGTGTCTTTCAAAGAAGATGGATACTACAACAGTAACAGTAACTCTGTACAGTTTTAGACAATTCCCATCTTGAACATTGTATTTCATCTATACATTTTGTTTTAGGGTTCTCTTAACCCGATGGAATTGATGGAAGGTCCACTGAGGATCCAGGTATTGAAGGCACAATGTCAAGTGGGTCTTTGGCGGCGAAATGGATACGCACTATTAAATCAGGTAGATATCTAATTATAGCATAGTAAAGTTGGGTAAACTGGTGATATCGGCGCTTAGAGCATCTTGGTCTAAAGTATATTATTTCTAAAACTGATGTTGCTAAGTTTTGCATTCCAACCAGATTCACTTACTTGTGCTGGTTGGGATACTTTTAAAGATAAAGTTAAAAATTACTATAAATTATTATTGTTGGATTGGATTGAATTGGGTTTATTCGGTGTAAACAGCAAGGATAGCCCACGAATGTCTAGAAGAAGACTTATTGCCAGTTGGGTCCCTCTGGTGGTGATTGGGCAGTACACAGGGAGACAATCCCTCACTCTTTTCCGAAGAGAGTACTGCGTGCTTTAACGTGCACATGGGCCATCAATGCACACGGGACCAATGGCTTAAACATCTCATCCGAAAGACGGTGAGCTTTTATAGCTTGTATTTTAGCCTCCAGCTAAAATACAAGGAGAGGCAGCAATGGGAATTGAACCGGACACCTAGAGATCTCCGCAGTTCAGCACACACATCCATAGTGGCTACCACCAGATTAGCCGTCTGACCTAAGCTGCTCTCTCTTGTCTTTATTATTTTTAAATTTTTTTATTTAATTTTTTTTTTTAATGATTCCTATCTTAGTATTATTTACTCTTTTTTTGTTTTGTTAAATCTGCAACATTCCATTTTAGTTGAAGAAAATTACATAGAGGATGATGATAATTTAAGATTCAGTTGACCTGCTAATAAATTTTTTTAACAAATTAAGAAAATAATATTTGTTATTCATTTATTGCAGCTTTATAACTATAATAGTGTTCGATTTCAAAATGAAACTTATGATAAGGATATCATAATGCTACAGGTAAGACATCTATTTTTAAAAATAATGTTTGATTGATTGATTTGAAATAATGATTTTTGAATCTGTTAAGTAAATTGAATTTTCTTTACTACTGAGTGAAATTATTTTGCCTTTTTGTCATTCTTGATGTGTTTAAACAGTACCAATCGCGGGCAGTGCACTTTTTTGGACGAGGTGCAAGTTGTGGGTGGTGGATGCGGGCAAAATCAGATTTTCTTTAACTTTCTTTGAGCATGCTGTATTCTACAGACCACGGGCACAGCCCATGGACCTCTTTTCGAGGTGGCATGGACTTCCTTTCGACATAGTACAGTACATATACTGTACATGAATTTCAAACAAACAAAATAAATTAAAAACATGCTTGGTTTATACGGTAGTTTAGGTGATTTGCAATTAAAATGTTTAAATGATTGAATAAAATTTTGTTGTTGACAGACTTGTGCTGCTGTTCTTCCACCTGATCACTTCCTGATTGCTGTTTTGAATCGCTTTGATTTGATTCAATGTATGGATACACAGTACGACACATGTGCACTGTCAGCAGATGTAAGTTGTTGACAAGATTTTCTTTTTGTTCAGGATATCATACATTCAACAGTAACTTCAATTGGACAAAATCACTTCTCTCAAGAGAAAATTGTGTCATAGAAAAATGTGCCTTTGGCAATGTCACAGTTAGTTATGCAATTGGAAATTTTCAGGTAGCGCTTGAAGTATATTATTGAGGCGTTTATTTTTATGATGGTTTACAGAAAAAAAAAATTCTTAAACTGTAAATTAAGGCTGAGTTCTAAAAATTGTTTACTTATAAGCCACAGACTCTTATATTTATTTCAGGTACAATTTTAAAGGCAACTGTTGAGTAAAATTTTATGTTTTTTACAATTTTAATCTAAAATTTCTTTTCTATCAGGATGTACAAGCAAGACAGCGCAATGTTACTTTGCTGAAGGAGTTTCTAGAATTACTTATTATTATTCTTTGTGAGTATTGAAATGCGACCTGTCACAATTAGCTGGAGTTGACATCAGGATCCCAGTTGCCAACTCTAAATATGTTCTATTCATTGTAATTGTTCTTTCATTCTATGATTTTCGCGTACTGTGTGTTCCTCTCTATACTTAAGTTTTTTCATTTATTTCATCAAAGGTGAGCGTTATGTTGTTGGAGTTGGCGAGATATCTGATACAGACCGAATCAAGCGTGAAGTTATCCACCAGTTGTGCATATCACCGATGACTCATAGTGAAATCAACAAATCATTACCAGAGGATGTAAGTCAATTATTTAAAGTTGAAATTATATTTGGGGGGTATAAAAAAGAGGCCAATTTAATGCTGAATGTCACATTTAAGAACTGGGTCAAAGTGGTTGGTGGATGTATTAGATATGTTTTCTGTTACTTTACGAACTTAATTGGGAAACAGATGAAGTTGAAACATCCATACATATCAAAAACTTAAAAGAAATAATATTAGATTGATTAGATAATTACAATTTAAATGACAATTTATGTAGAAATACATGTTAGAATTCAATCTAACTATTCAATTAAATTGCTGCTTAAGCCATTATGATCTTTTCACTACAAAGGGTAATTTTAAAAGGGAATTCCCCATATAAAAATATTTAAAAATACACACAGAAATAGGTCTGTGTGTGATGAGAGTTGATTAAAGACAGATAGCTGATCTGCTTATGTTTCAGCACCATCATGAAACAGGCATGGACAGGGTCACTGGCCTCGTTGCCAATTTCAAGTAAGTTAAAGGGCCTCAGGAAATGAGGCCTTTCCACTTGCATCATAGTTTAGTGTTTTTTTGTAGTTCATTTGTACATTGTTTGATGGATCTTGCAGGCCCAAGAAGAAACAGGTGCAGAAGATGTTGTGAATTTAGTGGGTGTGTTCAAGTAAGTGTGTTGTAACATTGTGTTAACCCCTGCAATAAGATGTTGTGAATTTAGTAGGGGTTTTTCAAGTAAGTGTGTTGCATCGATGTGCTAACAACATGAACAAATGTAAATTGCATCTTTATTTTAATTTTTAACAGTGTATTAACTTACGTTAATCTCTTAACATTAAATCATACTACATTATATCATCAATGCAAAGGAATGTTATTGTAGCTATGCAAGGGGAAAGAACAGATGATATAGAGAAAGAGGGGTCAGGTAGAGATTTGGTGGCAATAATGGGCTGAGATAGGGGAAGTTGGCTAGAGATGGTTAAAAGAAAACAGAACATTAAAGGTTTGTAGGGAGGGAGATAAGATGTTAGGTGGTTGGATTAGGCAGGATGGAAGTGGTATGAAACAGAAGTGATACAAGAGTATAACTGGAAAAGGAATGAGAGGGGAGGGGGGGAAGTGTAAATACATTAGCAGACTACTCTGTATTTTCACAATGTTGTTTGCAAACAATAATCTAGCTTCACCTATTATTTCTATGCATGGTTTTAGTCCTGTGTACATTAATCAGTATTTGGATTTAGTTTCTGTTCAGATATGTTAATGTTTTATTTACTAACTTTTAATTTCAGTTTCTCCAATTCAAGCTCAGCATAGTTGGTTTAAAGAATGTTTTTAATGCTCTTATCACCTACTTATATATGTATATTTGATATTTTGTATTTGTATAATTTTCTTAATATGATATGCCAATTTGTTTGTATATTTGCTTTAAATGTTTCAGGTATAGAACCTTATTGTCCCATTTAGTCATGCATATTGTTCAAGGATAGCAATTTTTTACAAATTGCCATATATTTTCTGCAATTAATATCTAGAATATTGATATTTTCTCTAATCACAAGTGTTTTTTTTTAAATGGGATTTCATGCATTTCTTGTTTTTATGTATACATTGATGTGCTTTATTATGTAACTGTCTGAAGGAGATGAACCCAATATATGTTTTTATTTAAATTTTATTAAAGAATGTTTTAAAATTTTATTTCAGAAAATCTGGAACAACTGGCAAAGGCATTTACGAGCTGAATGAGAACTGCCTAACATCCTACAATCAATACTTCTACCACTACACTAGAGCAGACAAATCTAGAGTAAGTATTGATATTATAGGTTAGTTGTGACATGTCAGTTGTGGTGCTAGTCTTCAAACTAATGGTTATGGGTCAGGTCCTGCAAATGCTCAGATAATTAACTATTATATTCCTTTTGTTCTTAACCCTCATAATGCAACTTATTTGTGTGAATACTTAATATCTATAAGATAAAGTCTCAAAGAAGTGTCTCTGTAGTGACACCCTAGTTTTTGGGTGTACAATTTTATATTGTCAGATAAGAAGTCTAGATAACAATTATTTGAAATTTTATTTATGAATTTTAGTCTGAAGAACATCAAAGAAAAGCACGAAAAAACCACAAGTCTATTGAAGGTAAGTTTTTTCCAACTGTCTTTCCCTGCTTGATGGTGGGGACTGGGGATTCCTCGTTCTAACTCCTTTAAAAACACTTTCCTCTCCTGCCGTCTGGAGGACATGATTTTTAACAAAAACAGTGTGTTGGTAAAGAGTTAATAAAAGTTTGAATTCAAACAACATTGCTATAGTTAGAAAAACAATAAAAACTGAGTGCTAATGATTATTTAGAGAAATGTTACTGACATCTTAATTTTTTTTAAATAACAAAGAATGATAAAATTTTAATTTGATCACATTCATAGGAAACCTATCTATTTAATGAATATTCATGTTCTCTTTTAGTTGCTGCTATGGTGCCTCCTTTACCTCCAACATTGTGTCACAACTATAGTAATATGTGCAGGATACTAGAATGTGACATATTTGTACATATACTGAACACCACCATCGCCAGAACTGCAACAAGTAAATTCTGGTCCGAAAATTCAACTCACAAGGTCAGTTTAATTAGATTAATTCTAGTAATATTTGTAAAAGCGATCAGGTTAAATGTTCACTACCCTTCATAACAACCAATAGCTGACTGAAGAAGTAGGGGATATTGGTTAGGTAAAGCTCTGACCAGGTTAAATGTTCATTACCCTTCATTTCAACCAATAGCTGACTGAAGATGTAGGGGATATTGCGTAGGTAAAGCTCTGACCAGGTTAAATGTTCACTACCCTTCATTTCAACCAATAGCTGACTGTAGAAGTAGGGGATATTGGGTAGGTAAAGCTCTGACCAGGTTATGAAAATTTCTTTGACAAAAAAACTGGTCTATGTCAATGTGTAGTCATGATGTGCCTATATTTTGCAAAGACAAGCCGAACAAGTTCACTCCTCGCCAATCTGTTTTAGAGATAATGGCCAAAACATGCTGAAGTCAACATTTTTGTAATCTATTTTATTGAACTAAAAAAAAATTATATATCTAAACATCATATGATGTTGTTATTTTCCCCATTTTCAATGTTAAAACAACAGTTTTTAATGATTTGGTGATGGTTTCTGCCTGAGAAATGCCTGAAAAAACGTAAACTTTGAAGAGTGATCTCCCAAATACTGTTCTTTAAACAGCTGTTTGTTTGAACTCTTGTAACTGTCTGATTTAAATTATTATTTTATCATTTTATAGCTCTCATTTTACTGTTTAACCCTGTATTAATAACTAAAAATTGATTATTGTTTTACAGGCTCTATATCTCACAGGCTTAGCTTTACTTGAAGAAGAACGATTACATCGTGAATCAAAGAGCTTCCAATTTAGTGCGAAAGCTTCAGAAGGTATTGAATTATCTAATATAAACTAATTAAGAAAAAAGTAATATGGCGTAATAAGTTAATAAGTTTCTATCAGACAGTAATATATGTTAGAGTTCGTAGTTTTTTTTTTCTTTGTTTTTGGATAGTCTATGATGTGACTAATTTCAATATATTTTACTATAATCAGATTTACTTTATTTTTGTAGGTAATCCAAGCCTAGAGCAGAACCTGCAATCCTTGGTTGGTAATCAACGTATTGATGTTTACAAAGACCTTCTGGAGTGGGTTTTGAAGGTAGAATATGTTTCATTCTATTTTTGTAGTAAATATTGTGAATACTTAACAGGATGAGCCCATACATGTCAAGTTACCATTTGCCAAACTTGAGGGAATTGTCCATTCCATCATTGCATAATTTTGATACCAGTAGATATTTCCCATATATGTATTGACCTCATTTGTGTGTAATCTGTTGTTATCTTTGTAACTTTTACATTTTAAATAAAATATTTAAATGAGGTGATTTACCTATTTATAGTTATCTGTTTTTATACTTGAATGTTTTATTTATTATTGTGCAGCAGTAACTTTGCGTTGCGTTTGTACATTTTTTTTGTTATTACTGGTGAAATTAATAATATGATATGATATCTTTTGTTTATATATTTTTTTGAAATCATATTTGTGGGTGGATGTGGTATGGTATTAAGGCCTTGTGTTGTGGTAAAGTGTCTGTGGCTGTCCATTGTGTCCTTAGTTAAATTACTTTAGGCCTACTGTATTTACATTGCTTTTAAAAATACACAATCACTTGAAACAAAAAAGTTGCTATTGTGAGTCATTCATTTGCATAAAAGGTAACGGATCATTTGAAATCAGCTTGCTTTACATTACTTTAAGTGAAGGTTAAACATAAAAATCAGTTTATACATAAATGATTCAGTTGCAAATATTTAAATTCCCTTATTAAAACATTTTACCTTGCTGCTCCTAGAAATTTTCTGAAGTTTCAAAACTTAAAGGTAACTTAGGAACAGAACTACCACTTGAGCCCAAGTCCATGGACGACAGTAAAGAAGAGGAGGAGAAAAAAACGAAAGCTGAGTTAGCGCAAGAGCGCAGAAAACGTATAATGGCACAAATGTCTGACATGCAACGCTCATTTATTAAGAAAAATCCAAGTTTGTTCGAAGATACAAATCCCCTGGATAGTAGGAAGTCCTCCACAACAAGTATGGATGTTGAGTAAGTAAACGGGGAAATCTTTGGTTTTAAACTTAACATTTTTTTTATGCTAGTGTCAGTGATGTGATAGATATGTATTTTACGCATTAGAGCTGTCTCTTGTCTGATCCGATTTCTTTCATTTGAATTGTGTGTTTTCTGTCATAGTGTCAGTGATGGACCTCTGTCATATGCAATAGCTCTTGGGTCGGAGCAGACGCTGATCCCAGTCAGGGAGCCGTCAAAAGTAACGTGCATGTTGTGCCAGGAGGAGGAAAAGATCAGCGATGACGCTCCAATTATGGTTCTTACTGCCTGCATTCAAAGGTATTTAAAACGTATTACAACAAAATATTTACTATCAGTCATGAGGTATAAAAAAAATTGAAAATTTAAATTCTATTTTTGAATTGCTTAATTTGTATATTTAAGTAAGTTATTAAACTAAAATTGAAATTTTGAATTAAAAAAAATATTTGGACAGTTAAATAATAACTTTGGCTGGTAGTCAATTTAAGGATGCTGTAGTAAAATGTCTGTAAATCGGTGAAAAGTACTTTTTTAATCTGTTCCTCATTGAAAGCTAATAATTTATTTGATCATTTTAAATGGGCTATTTCAACATTCTACAGTATTTTAATTTTTCAAGTATTGCCCTGTCTTTGTGACTGGTAGTACATCTTTAAATATCTGAGATAGAACTTCAAGCAGAATTTATAATAGTTTCTGATTAATGACAACGTAAACTTAGAACAACTGAAGCGACATCCAATAATTCAGACAACAGTGAAAACACAAAGTGTCTGCTTGTGCTGATAACTCTTAAGTGACATTGCTCCAGGTCAGGTGTGGACATAAAAATCGATCGAAGGGCCAAAGTGAATTTTTTATTTTAACACAGAGGGCCGAACTCTGATATTTCCAGTGTGCTTTCAAAAACCTTCAAGCATTGTTTTTACATCACATTATTCCCAGTTTTAATATTAATTTTACGGAAGATCAGTGTCAGGCCGTAAAAAACAAGGTGTTTTCTAGCCAATGTTGCTTGGCTGGCCCCAACCCTAGGGTTTTTAATTCATATTCGATTGCTGCAAAAAAATCCCTGTCTAGCTGCGCTTTGCCCTCCTGTGCTCTAGATCTTGAATTTAGATACTCAAAATATTCTTAACTAATCCTTAATTTTATTTCAAAGATCATCTGTATTGTCAAGTACACGAGGAAAGAAAATTGCTGATAAGGGTGAGTTTTTTTATTTTTGGCTATATAAATGCAAAATAATAATACATACATTTGTTTATGTACTAAATAGAAGCAAAATATTTTCTATATACATTTATTTATTATAATGAAAAAAATGTGTAGCCGTGTTAGTCTGCTATAGAACAATATAAATACAATACAAAAGCTAGAAATCAAATTTTACAAGTTAGTCTTGAAAGTGCTGCTATCATTTCTTTTATATTATTTATTATATTAACTATAAAACATATATACAAATGTATTTTTTACATTATAAATACAAGATATGTATATTATTTTTTTAAGATTCATTTGATCCCCTTTTGAAGAGTGCCGACCGTTACTGGGGCACACACGTTAGCAGCTGTGGACACGTCATGCATGCTAGATGCTGGCAAATGTAAGTTATATCATTTATTTAGCAATATTTTTTTTTTTTTGATGATGATTCAAATTAGTATAATTATTACACTTTTCTGGACTTTTCAGTAATTTTTACAGTTTTGTTCGGATTCCTAAAAGATAGCCGTTGTCTGCACATTGGTTGATAGAACATACAAAATCAACAGCAGCTGGCCTGGGTTTCATATGTTTTTTTTTATAATTAAGAAGAAATATATATATATCTGATGTTTGGAGATTTCAAGGCAGCGGCGGGCGTAATAGAAATAAATTATTTTTTAAAAATTTCCATTTTTTGTGGCGGCGGTTACACTAATTGGCCAAAAATAAAATTTTATTTTTATTAGAAATCATCAATATTGGCGGGTGGTGGGTTCGCTAAGACGATCAACTTTTAAGACATCATTTAATCTGCTTAAATAATTTTGTTCCTTAAATGTTAATGCTTTTGTGCATAAGAGATTGTTGATCATTTGATAGAAATTTAGAGGTCTTTTTCACATAGTACGAACCCAGCAGAAGTTAAGTTTATACATTATCAGTATGATTATTTTCATTGATATAAACACCAAGGTGTTTGCAGTATTAAACTAATTCTTTTTAGACAGTTATTTTCTATATACAAATTAACATTATTGTTTGATAGTTTAGAAAGTTCCTCCTTCATACCAATAAACATGCATTAAGTTTTTTGTACATTTAATGTAAGTTTATTGTATAAGAAGCCACTATCTATTGCATTCAAGGTCAACATTTAAGTTATGTACAACATCATCAATATTATAAGATTTATAATAAATTGTATTATCTGCATACATGCTAATTTTTACATTACAAACACTTTTTTGAAAATCATTGACATATATAACACAAATAACAGTGGTCCTACAATACAACCTTGGGGTATTCCACAAATACATTGACATTTAGTTGATTGTGTACCAGGCCCAACTAGGCTAGGCTGAGCTTAGTAGGCCAAGCCGTTCAAGCCATCACAGTAAAAGTTTAGGGATTCTTCACTTTCATTTAGTACTGGTAATTTTGCTTCATCATCTTTACCTTCATTTCAATGTCAATTGTTAAATTGTTGAATTTTATTATTCAGTTATTATGTTTGTTATTATTAATGACGTTTCTTAAATTAACTATAGATATACTGATTCACTGGTTGCAAAGGAAAATAAAAGGCCAGTACGATTTCGCAATCATCTCAGCTTTGATTTGAGCAAAAACGAGTTTCTCTGTCCACTCTGTGAAACTGTTGGTAACACCGTCATAACTCTTCTTCCTGATCTACTCCCAGTAGAAAAAAGGTACATATACCAAGCAACTTCAAGAGTGTCTCTCTCATGATTTGTATCATACATATACCAAGCAACTTCAAGAGTGTCTCTCTCATGATTTGTATCATACATATACCAAGCAACTTTAAGAGTTTCTCTCATGATTTGTATCATACATATACCAAGCAACTTCAAGAGTTCATGATTTGTATCATACATATACCAAGCAACTTCAAGAGTGTCTCATGATTTGTATCATACATATACCAAGCAACTTCAAGAGTGTCTCATGATTTGTATCATACATATACCAAGCAACTTCAAGAGAGTCTCTCATGATTTGTATCATAAATAACTTGACATCAGTGCTCTTTTCTTTCCATAAAGCTCTTTTCTCACTATCATATTTTCTTCGACAAAAACTGTTGTATGCCTATATATGATGCTTGCCATGCCAAAAGCAGCGTACTGTCGATAGTTGTTAAACTGAGTAAGCATAAGAATGTAGCAGTATTGTAGCAGCGTACTGTCGATAGTTGTTAAACTGAGTAAGCATAAGAATGTAGCAGTATTGTAGCAGCGTACTGTCGATAGTTGTTAAACTGAGAAAGCATAAGAATGTAGCAGTATTGTAGCAGCTTACTGTCGATAGTTGTTAAACTGAGTAAGCATAAGAATGTAGCAGTATTGTAGCAGCATACTGTCGATAGTTGTTAAACTGAGTAAGCATAAGAATGTAGCAGTATTGTAGCAGCGTACTGTCGATAGTTGTTAAACTGAGTAAGCATAAGAATGTAGCAGTATTGGTAGCAGTGTACTGTCGATAGTTGTTAAACTGAGTAAGCATAAGAATGTAGCAGTATTGTAGCAGCGTACTGTCGATAGTTGTTAAACTGAGTAAGCATAAGAATGTAGCAGTATTGTAGCAGCGTACTGTCGATTGTTGTTAAACTGAGTAAGCATAAGAATGTAGCAGTGTACTGTCGATAGTTGTTAAACTGAGTAAGCATAAGAATGTGTCAGTATTGTACACATTCATACAGAGAAGCCCTAATACTTTTACTCTTAACTTTGGAAGTGGTAAATTGATTCCAGTAAATGACCCATCATTTTAAGGCTTATAATGTGGTGAATATAAATATATTAAAAAGTATTTCTGTCACTAATGCTGGTTTGGACATGGCAAAACCCATATATAGTCATAATATGCCTATATATGGTCATGATGTGATGTCATGACCATATTTAGGCATGTCTCAATGTGTTAGATACAGTAGGTTTATGCTAATGGTTATTTTATTAAATTATATATTACATTTAAGATTATGTAGGATATATTATGTATTTGTATAAATAAATTTGCTTTGACTATAACAATGTTATCCTGATCTCTTTTAATGATGTAAACATTTTATTATCTTATCTTATCTTAAATAAGCAGTCATTCACTGCAGTCATTAAAAGTGTTAATATTTTTGTTATGTAATTTTATTGCAGTAAGAAACAATGTGATGTTAGTGTTGAGCATATGCTGAGCTTGATAAGAGATGTACTCCGCGAAGACATGGAGTTGAAGGAGGAAGCAGAAATTACAATGGATACCGCCACGTTGTCCGATGAAACTCCAGCAAAACAGAAAAAAGATGGTAAGCTATTATTAACAAGATCATACCACACAATTTATACAAACATGCAAAACTCGTACAACATTATAATCAACTGAACAAATTGTCAAAAAACTGTTAGACCACCAACAGCTCCTGTGGTGGACGATGAGAGTTGCTGGTACCAGGTTACCAGGTAGCACAGACACGAAGGGACCCTTAGGAGCAAAGAAATCTTTGAGTTCTTTGAGTTCCTTGTCCACATATCAAGTGCCCTGAGCATCTTATGTTAGATGGATTTGTGCGCTATATAAAACTACATTATTATTATTATTATTATTATTATTATTATTATTATTATTATTATTATAAGATTGGCTGGAGTAGCCTGACTGATATATTGAACAGATTATCGCCATTTTTTTTCATTAAAACCCTAAAAATAATAGAACCTTCCATCACACAGCATTGCATGGTTTGCATAGTCTGTTTTGCAAAATGGATTAAAGACAGAGTGGTTAGAGTACAGTACTGCGGAACAGACCATTATTTTTCAAGGGTATGCTATTTAGGGACCAATGGTAATAGTTGGTTTATCCAGTATTTCATTTATATACCAAGATCACTGCCGCTTTGTGTGATTTGATATGTATTTTGATTTCAGATTACAAAAAGCCCTTCGTTGGGAAGTCAAACATTGGGAAATCAACCATTAGTTCAGAGGTCTGGCGGTTGCTCAGTTTCAATCAACAGACAAATGCAAAATATTCTCTAAAGTTAGTGTTCTTTGTTTCATTTTTTTCAATTACTTGTACTTAGTAATAACACAGCCAAAAAAGAATTTTGTTGTACTAGTAAATTATATATATTTTTTTTAATTCTAAAATAGAACTGTAGTTAAAATTGAACATTTTTTAATAAGAAAATTTTGTATAGGTGTGATATTTTCCTGATGCAAACTCATATCGAAAAAGAAATATTGTAATACAAGTCACACACTTATAGTACATCTTGTGATTTATTTTTTGTGATTTCTTTTCACAGACCACATCTGCCTGTCGATAGAACTGAAATGTTGAAGACATTCTCCATGTCCATCTACACTGTAAGTATTTGAACACATTCTCTTTGTCAGTGTACATTGTAAGAATTTCTTGTTTGGACAACATTTCAATTGTTTACTGACAATATTTCACCTCGTGACTCAAACATATCCGTGGTCTTGATACAATCAACAGATAGGAAAATGTGTATTAACCTTGCTTTCAATACAATCGCTGCACTGTCGCTACAGATTTTTTTACTGCAATCGTTGCATAGCGTAGCCAGGGATGGAAAAAGTGCACTATTGTGCGACGGTGGTCGGAGGCATGGATGTCCCGGAGAAATTTTGGGGGGGGGAAAATTCAAAAAAATTTACTATTAGGCTGTATGATGAATAGATAACATTTGGTGCTGGCGGTATTCTACCAAGACAATTTCATTGTCAGAGGCACAAACATTTTTTTTTGCCAGGCCTTTGCGTAGCTGTTCCTGACGCAATCGGGAACACTCCCGGATGCAACTGACTAATCAGCATCACCAAAGGAGTCAGCAATAATGTGTAGCAATTTTATGGAAATCAGTCTTAACCTAAGTTCAGAAACAATGAGCTAGGCTGGATTGCAGGCATTAATTGGGTTACTCAGTGAATTTTGTGAAATATAGTCTTTTTATTGTGCTTAGCACACGCTATGCTAAATTTAATTGACGTCCCGTACTCTATTTATATACTCTTAATTCCATCTTTTAAATTTAAAACTTACTCGTTGGTGGCACTGTCTGGAATGAAAAAAAAATTGATAAGGAACCTGTGGCAAGTCTAACCATGGGCCTAAGTTGCTATTGAATAAGTACCCTCATGAAAATAAGGAGTTATTCCATAACCAATTTATTTTCAACAGCATAAGCAAATACCATTTAAAATCAGTGCACGTGAGACAGCGACAGATGTGCCTGTTTTCCTTGGGTGTTGGGCTAGCCATGACAGTTACGTTAGTTATTATTCGTTTTTTAGACTAATCAAAATTAGTTATGAGTATATCTTGTATCTGTTGTAGGTTGGATTGAATGTGATGCCTGATGACAGTAATAGTCGCATACCTATCATGTGTTGGGAGGCTGTGGCTTACACCATTCAAACAGCAGGTGTGGTTTGATTTGAAATAGATTTTCTAAGTCTTTCACGTTTTGAACAGTACAATGACAGTTAGGCCTTGGCGGTTTAATCTTCTATCAACTCAGTTATGTAATGAGTCTATCAGTCAGTCAATCAACCGATCAGGCTTGCTATCAATTGATCACACAAGATCAGATCAAGATCAGATTTGTGTGCTTTAATAAGTCTTATTATTAAGAAATTAGGCAATTAATCACTATAGATAAGTTCAAAAGTAATAAGGGATGGAGGATTGAAAAAGATAAGAGAGGAGAATCACAGAGGATAAGGGAAGGAATGGAAGGGTGTGGAATGAGGACTTGAGTGGATAGAATAAAGGGAATTAGAGAGTAAAGATAAGGGGAATGAAGAGGCTAAGTAAGTGAGTAATCAGAGAGTGTATGAAAGTGAGATAAGAATTAATAGAGAAAGGACTGGAAAGCAGCATAAATGTAATTTTCCATGATTTTAACCAGATTCTGTTGTTTCTTTTATACAGAGCTGTACCTTAGAGTCGAGGAAAAGCCATTATTTTGTTCACTGTCCAGTAGGCAAGCAGATTGTGTGAATGCACTTGTGAGGTTGGGTGCTGAGGGCATCACTGTCTACAATCATCAACATGTACGAAAAC